CTGGCTTATTTACAGTATTTCAACTTCTTATGACTCACATGTGTAGGTACCTTTGTAACAGTGATTTACAGCAGTTGCCTGAACTGCCGGTGCATTGTAACATTCATAGTGACACAGGCCATCCCCCTCAGAAATACAACTCCATACATTCTGAGTTGCATCCAGTGCCAATGCAGGGCAAAACCTGTCTTGTACAGAGTGAGGCTAAAAGTAACAGATGGACAAATAACATCTATAACCAAAACTGACCTTCCAAAAATCACACCCACTCTTTGTATATGCAATCATGCAACCCCACACATGCCTTCAAGATGCAGTAAATGGGTGTGTGGGTGCTAGTCTATTCCCACTTGTTGTGAAATGTGAGTCCTCTGGCCCAACAGTGTTTCCATGGTAAAACGGAACCAGACAAATTGTTCCACTTTACGTCAACAGCAGCTACCAGTAATGGCAAATTCATAGCTAGGAGGACAGATATGGCAGTGTTGTGATGGAAATACTTGTCGACAGACGGACTGATGGAAATATTCTGCTGAAGTAAAGTGTTTTTTTTCACCTGTAGTATTTGATGGACCGAACTGGAGGTTTAAGGCGAGTGAATGCTAACTTGGATTCATCAGATGACCAGAAAACAGCTCTGTTGAGAGATGCTGTGTTTCTCTGTATTTTCCAGATACATGAGTAGTTGATATTTTGCTTGTGCCATAAACAACAGTATTGAGAGAAAGTCACTGTTTCAGAGAGCCATGGTGTCACGAGATACAATCTGCGGTACTGGTTTTGGGCACCGTAGGTCCACCCAGCTGCTGCCAAAAGGCAAACTGAAATAGTACAGTAATACGGGGTCCCTGCAGACATGGATGCCAACAGCTATAAGTAATGACTTGGTAGGAAAAGTAATATGCAATACTTGAGGGAGGAAAATCCTGCTCACTTCCTTAAAAGTCAGTTTCTAAACAGATCCATTGTATTTTTATCCTTTTTTTAAAATGTCATTTTAATTTGTCCTGGGACGCTTAAACTGTGTTTAAGTATAATAAATTAGGCCTATAGGTTTGAGCATATTCTATTAGTTGAAGAATTGAAGAACCTCAATCTAAACTTTGAGATTGGATTTTTCTTTTTTTTTAATTGTTATCCAACTCTAACACAAGTTTTAAAATGCACCACCCTTTTAAAATATGACTGTATTTCACCATGTTACATTAAAAATCGTAAGGTCAAACAGAATCTGATCTTAAAGAAGCACAACCAATGTCTCTGTAGAATGCAGTAGTACAATATTTAGCCATAGGTGTTTAACCCATAGCAGTGAATGTTGAAGATTTGATTCCTACACAGATGCTGTGAGGTCGCATTCTGGCATGATGTGCAGTGACTCTCCTTGACTCATCTGCAAACTCCATCTCCCACAATCCTCCCACAATGAGCTCGTTGTTGAGCCAGCATTTCTCGGTCTTACTTTGTAAACTGAACCTACGTGGCTGCGTGTCAGTGACATAAACAGGCTGTAATAAATGTAAAATAGATTTGTGTGTGTGCAACCAGACAAACTTAAACTCACTATTGTCAGAGAGAACTTCATACTGGTTTGGGAAGCCTCATGACCTTGACCAAGTCCCCAAGGACTTTGGCTGATAACAGAGTACAAAATTCCTGGTTCAGTAAGGCCTCCATTTTTATTTGTTTGATGAGTATTTTATTTTTGTTCTTTGTGGCTGTGAGCCATATCAAGATCAGTTCTCAAAACTGTAGCCGCACATTTGGTGAAGAAGGAAGCCTCTTGATAAATTTGATAAGGTTTCTGTGTGCTGTTCTCTTTGCATGTTTAGGTGCCCAAGCTGACTACCCAGTAACTGCTTCCTTTTCACCAAACATAAAATGTAAAATGCATTGTTTACTGTCCATTTTACCCAGGATGGAGCTATATACCAAATGTTCAAGGTCATAGTTCATTGCTTGACTGCAGTATATTGTTGCCCAAAGCTGTAGGCCCACTAGGTGTACAGTACAAATACTGCACTATTACTGTAACTAGCTAGGGTTTTACTGGGGCCGTGGCGTTCCCAGTGGCCTCAGTTTTTGTTTTCTTTTTCATATTAATAACACTCATTGGCTTTAGTCATGCTTGTGGTATAGGAAGGACACTTTGTCAGCTTGTCCACTTTGGTTCAGACTGAAATTTAAATATTTAAACAAATCTATCAAGTAGACAAAGTATGTGATGGATTGCCATGAATTTTACATACAGATGTTCATGGTCCTTGGGGGATGGAACCACTGAGTTTTCATCTAGCGGCACCTTTGATTTCTCCAGTACTTTGGTTTATAACCAAACGCCTGCAAAACTAATGCCATTCCATTCCCTGTACTTGAGTTTAGAGCTAATAGCAAATGTTATCATGCTTGCATGCTAAATTAAGGTGAACTTGGCAAACCTGCGTCACTGTACATCAGCATGTTGGCGTTTTCATTGTCAGCACATCGTTTTGTAGGTTTTTGTTCATTATTTACAGCATATTGCTACTAATAACTAATAATACAAATACTATTAAGAATAATATGGCTGAAAGGGCTATAAAATGGCTTTGACAGGATGGTCTTTTACTGGAAACTGGCATAGTGCAGCACTAACACTGCACAAAACAGTAGCATCTGGTGCAATGATCTGTGCATGTTCCCATTTCTGTCACTGCCAGTGTGACTAATGAGATGTATCAGAGTTTGTACTTGCCTGTGTGTCTGTGTAGCTTTGAGGGTTTGTGTAGATGTATGTGTTGTGAACAGTGTGGGAACTGCAGAGGAGGATGTGTGTATTTACAAAGTCTGCTCCGAGTTCCCATGATTTCCTCTGGATAGGGAACTGAGCTGGGATTCATTTGTGTAACATTAATCCCAGAGGCGGGCAGATTTATGCTGTGGTCAACAGAACAGTGGATTCACCCTTTTTGGTGTTGTGGATTATTTCAGGCCTATTGCTTCTCTGTGATGCTAAAACTTGAAATGTTGCACAGTATCAATATGCATAGCTGAAAGCTTGCATCTGACTGTGCAAGAGCTCTGAATACCACAGGAGAAAACAGGTGGGGTGATGCGTTCTTAGCATGACACAGTAATTTTGATTTCACTTTATAAAGTCTCATTACTGCTGTCAATGTGTATGAGCTTTGTCAAAATGACAAGTTTTTAAATGTCACAAAGTGACGGTGCAGGTGTTTCTAATGCTCTGAATTCTAATAATTCAACAAATAAAACAAGACAAAGCAAATGACATAAACTGACACCATTTCCAGTAAAGCCAAAGTGAATTAAAATAAATTACGGCCCCCATTAGCCTGAGCTCCATGTAGTCGGGCCAGACCTACACAGACTAAGATCCAAAGATATATTCATCAGTAATGATTCATAGGTTGCCAAACTTGAACTGTGTGCCCCCAAGGTTGTGAAACCTGCACAGTCACTCTTGTTTCCAGGTCTGATCTCAGAGCTCTGACTGAAATTCACTTTTACTATCCTATGTGGCTTTGACAGTGCTGCCGTGCAGTAGCTCCCCTCACAAGGAATTTTTGTCTCGATTGTTCTTGGCAGAATTTCAGTAGAAGGGAATTAACAGTATGTTTGTCTCAAACTTTACTTATACAAATGTCCTAGTTAACAAAATGTCTCTGCAAAGCTCAGATGTGCAGTAACAAGGCTGTGGTTTAAGGTCCTGCTTTATGTTTTAGGAAAAATACTTGCTTCAAAGTGAAATGAGAGAATTAACCTCATGTTTGTGTAAGAAGTACAGAGCTGGTGTAAGGGCGTGGTTAGCTTAGCATTAAGATTTAGCAGTAGAGGGGAAGACAAACTTTGCTCTTTCCAAAAGTATTTTTTATAATAACCACATATCGGCTAACAATGTGATGATATCACTTGAATCTCCAGCTCCCCTCAGCTTGGTGGAGTGTTAACTGGCATTTCAGCTCGTCGTTCAGCTGTTGGTCTGTTTTGGTTCACCACTCTGAGCAGCATTGTTTTGGGCTCTAAAAATCTGCACAGTACTTGCTCAACTAGTGGAGCACATAGCAGCTAAAGAGACAGATATTTCCCTTAGAAGTTGGTTGAGACCAAAAATGGAGCTAAAAGCAAATACCGGACTTCCATTGGGCAGGTGGACAGAAACATGATGCCAAATGAATGATAATGTTGCTCCAGAACCGTTGGATGCGTGAATAAACTGTTTGCCAACAGATTAGTGAGATAATTTCACTCTTGGAAAGTAAGCAAATAAGCACTTTCCCCAAAATGTTGTACAAATTTTTAAGTAAGGTGCTTTTTATGATTTCTCCAGCAAAATAAAGTGTATGTGATGCTGGGTCATCAGTAACCCTAACCCTGATGGATACAAATTAAGAAGGCACACCCCTGGGAATTCTGGGGAAAGGGAAAAAAACATTTTTTTCTGAATGTAGCAGCAGAGTGTGTAGTTTCTCATGACACACACACACACAGTTAGGTCAGTCTATGGGTCGACTTCTCAGGCTTTCTCTTACACACCCCCAAAGTCGTCTTTGATTTGAAGTATAAGAGTTTGAGCAGTAGGAGATTCTTGTTTTTTGTGTGCTTGTGCTTGACTCAGAACTTGGCCAGTCATTAGTAGACGGCTCTTACAGAGTGTTGGAGGAAGTGGTGACTGATGACTCAGCCAAGCCATGTCTTTCATTCTTTCTCTCTGTGCTCTCCTCCCCCTGTCATCTGCTTTTTGCATTTTATTCATTCCTCTTCTCTTTTCTGCCTAGTTGAATGTCTGTCCTCCTCTCTTTCTCTGTCCCCCCCTTCTTCTCTCTCTCCTTTCCCGTTTCATCTTTACTTTTGGAGGTGTCATTGCGACTGTGTATGTGTGTCTGCATGAGTAGCACACTCAGTAATGTGTGTGGGCAGATAACTGGTTGCTTCAAAGTGATTAAAACATTCCATGTCTTCTTTTTCCTCTCTCCTCTTTGTTTCTTTGCTCTTTTTAGTTTTAAGAGAAGACTTTCTGAAGAAGAGAAGAATGAAGACTGACAAACTGGTAAGTGAAAGTAAACTATGCATTAATTTTTCTCAACATTGGCTGGTATTTAAGAAGAAACACAGTCCTAGAAAAAAACGATTCTTTCAGATTTTAATGTGCTGTAAAGGCAGGTCGAGGACAATGGCTCCATCGTTTTAGATAAGCTTTTTCTTCAAGAGGTTTGGTTAAACAAAGACTCTTAAGTTTTTTATTTATAAGGCTGAAGAAAACGTAGGACTAAAAAGCAGGA